AAAGCACTTCCCAGTACTACTGTGTACTACAAAGCTCGCACAAACACGTTCCCAGTACTACTGTGTACTACAAAGCTTGCACGAAGCACTTCCCAGTACTACTGTGTACTACAATGCTTGCACAAAGCACTTCCCAGTACTACTTTGTACTACAAGGCTTGCAAAGTCGTTCCCAGTCCTACTGTGTACTACAAAGCTCGCACAAACACGGTCCAGTACTAATGTGTACTACAAAGCTTGCACAAAGCACTTCCCAGTACTACTTTGTACTACGAAGCTTGCACAAAGTCGTTCCAGTACTACTGTGTACTACAAAGCTCGCACAAACTACTTCCCAGTACTACTGTGTACTACAAAGCTTGCACAAACTACTTCCCAGTACTACTGTGCACTACAAAGCTCGCACAAACACGTTCCAGTACTAATGTGCACTGCAAAGCTCGCACAAACTACTTCCCAGTACTACTGTGTACTACAAAACTTGCAGAAACACGTGCCAGTACTACTGTGTACTACAAAGCTCGCACAAACACGTTCCCAGTACTACTGTGTATCCCAGTTCTACTTTGTACTACAAAGCTTGCACAAAGTCGTTCCAGTACTACTGTGTACTACAAAGCTCGCACAAACACGTTCCCAGTACTACTGTGTACTACAAAGCTCGCACAAACTACTTCCCAGTACTACTGTGTACTACAAAGCTTGCACAAAGCACTTCCCAGTACTACTGTGTACTACAAAGCTTGCAACAACTACTTCCCAGTACTACTGTGCACTACAAAGCTTGCAGAAGCACGTTCCCAGTTTTACTGTGTACTACAAAGCTTGCACAAAGTCGTTCCCAGTACTACTGTGTACTACAAAGCTCGCACAAAGCACTTCCCAGTACTACTTTGTACTACAAAGCTTGCACAAAGCACTTCCTGCACAAACTACTTCCCAGTACTACTTTGTACTACACAGCTTGCACAAAGTACTTCCCAGTACAACTGTGTACTACACAGCTTGCACAAACTACTTCCCAGTAGCACTTTGTACTACAAAGCTTGCACGAAGCACTTCCCAGTACCACTTTGTACTACAAAGCTTGCAGGAAGCACTTCCCAGTACTACTGTGTACTACAAAACTTGCACAAAGCACTTCCCAGTACTACTTTGTACTACAAGCTTGCAAAGTCTTCCCAGTACTACTTGTACTACAAAGCTTGCACAAAGTCGTTCCAGTACTACTGTGTACTACAAAGCTCGCACAAACTACTTCCCAGTACTACTGTGTACTACAAAGCTTGCACAAAGTCGTTCCCAGTACTACTGTGTATTACAAAGCTCGCACAAAGCACTTCCCAGTACTACTGTGTACTACAAAGCTTGCACAAAGCACTTCCCAGTACTACTTTGTACTACGAAGCTTGCACAAAGTCGTTCCAGTACTACTGTGTACTACAAAGCTCGCACAAACTACTTCCCAGTACTACTGTGTACTACAAAGCTTGCACAAACTACTTCCCAGTACTACTGTGCACTACAAAGCTCGCACAAACACGTTCCAGTACTAATGTGCACTGCAAAGCTCGCACAAACTACTTCCCAGTACTACTGTGTACTACAAAACTTGCAGAAACACGTGCCAGTACTACTGTGTACTACAAAGCTCGCACAAAGTCGTTCCAGTACTACTGTGTACTACAAAGCTCGCACAAACTACTTCCCAGTACTACTGTGTACTACAAAGCTTGCACAAACTACTTCCCAGTACTACTGTGCACTACAAAGCTCGCACAAACACGTTCCAGTACTAATGTGCACTGCAAAGCTCGCACAAACTACTTCCCAGTACTACTGTGTACTACAAAACTTGCAGAAACACGTGCCAGTACTACTGTGTACTACAAAGCTCGCACAAACACGTTCCCAGTACTACTGTGTATCCCAGTTCTACTTTGTACTACAGAGCTCGCACAAACACGTTCCCAGTACTACTGTGTACTACAAAGCTCGCACAAACTACTTCCCAGTATAACTGTGTACTACAGAGCTCGCACAAACACGTTCCCAGTACTACTGTGTACTACAAAGCTCGCACAAAGTACTTCCCAGTACTACTGTGTACTACAAAGCTCGCACAAACTACTTCCCAGTACTACTGTGTACTACAAAGCTTGCACAAAGCACTTCCCAGTACTACTTTGTACTACAAGGCTCGCAAAGTCGTTCCCAGTCCTACTGTGTACTACAAAGCTTGCAACAACTACTTCCCAGTACTACTTTGTACTACAAAGCTTGCACAAAGTCGTGCGCAGTACTACTTTGTACCACAAAGCTTGCACAAAGTCGTTCCCAGTACTACTGTGTATTACAAAGCTTGCACAAAGCACTTCCCAGTACTACTGTGTACTACAAAGCTTGCACAAAGCACGTTCCCAGTACTACTGTGTACTACAAAGCTGGCACAAACTACTTCCAAGTACTACTGTGTACTACAAAGCTCGCACAAACACGTTCCCAGTACTACTGTGTACTACAAAGCTTGCACAAAGTACTTCCCAGTGTACTACAAAGCTCGCACAAACTACTTCCAAGTACTACTGTGTACTACAAAGCTCGCACAAACACGTTCCCAGTACTACTGTATACTACAAAGCTTGCACAAGGTACTTCCCAGTACTACTGTGTACTACAAAGCTCGCACAAACTACTTCCCAGTACTATTGTGTACTACAAAGCTTGCAAAAAGCCGTTCCCAGTACTACTGTGTACTACAAAGCTTGCACAAAGCACTTCCCAGTACTACTGTGTACTACAAAGCTCGCACAAACACGTTCCCAGTACTACTGTGTACTACAAAGCTTGCACGAAGCACTTCCCAGTACTACTGTGTACTACAATGCTTGCACAAAGCACTTCCCAGTACTACTTTGTACTACAAGGCTTGCAAAGTCGTTCCCAGTCCTACTGTGTACTACAAAGCTCGCACAAACACGGTCCAGTACTAATGTGTACTACAAAGCTCGCACAAACTACTTCCCAGTACTACTGTGTACTACAAAGCTCGCACAAACTACTTCCCAGTACTACTGTGTATTACAAAGCTTGCACAAAGCACTTCCCAGTACTACTGTGTACTACAAAGCTTGCACAAAGCACTTCCCAGTACTACTTTGTACTACAAAGCTTGCACAAAGTCGTTCCAGTACTACTGTGTACTACAAAGCTCGCACAAACTACTTCCCAGTACTACTGTGTACTACAAAGCTCGCACAAAGCACTTCCCAGTACTACTGTGTACTACAAAGCTCGCACAAAGCACTTCCCAGTACTACTGTGTACTACAAAGCTTGCACAAAGCACTTCCCAGTACTACTGTGTACTACAAAGCTTGCACAAACACGTTCCAGCCAGTACTACTGTGTACTACAAAGCTTGCACGAAGCACTTCCCAGTACTACTGTGTACTACAAAGCTTGCACAAAGCACGTTCCAGTACTACTGTGTACTACAAAGCTTGCACAAAGTCGTTCCCAGTACTACTTTGTACCACAAAACTGGGACAAACACGTTCCCAGTACTACTTTGTACTACAAAGCTTGCACAAAGTCGTTCCCAGTACTACTGTGTACTACAAAGCTCGCACAAACATGCACAAACTACTTCCAAGTACTATTGTGCGTAGCAAAAAACACGAGGTGTTGCAGCTTCCCCTATAGACACGGCGACATCCACGCAGCAAAAAACACGAGGTTTTGCAGCTTCCCCTATAGACACTGTGACATCTACGTAGCAAAACACACGAGGTTTTGCAGCTTCCCCTATAGACCCTATAGACACTGCGACATCTACGGAGCAAAAAACACGAAGTTTTGTAGCTTCCCCTATAGACACTGCTACATCTACGCAGCAAAAAACACGAGGTTTTGCAGCTTCCCCTATAGACACTGCTACATCTACGTTGCAAAACACACGAGGTTTTGCAGCTTCCCCTATAGACACTGCGACATCTACGGAGCAAAAAACACGAGGTTTTGCAGCTTCCCCTATAGACACTGCGACATCTACTTCGCAAAAAACAGGAAGTTTTGCAGCTTCCCCTATAGACACTGCGACATCTACGTAAAAAAAACACGAGGTTTTGCAGCTTCCCTTGTAGACACTGCGACATCTACTTCGCAAAAAACACCAGGTTTTGCAGCTTCCCCTATAGACACTGCGACAGCTACGTAGCAAAACACACGAGGTTTTGCAGCTTCCCCTATAGACACTGCGACAGCTACGTAGCAAAACACACGAGGTTTTGCAGCTTCCCCTATAGACACTGCGACAGCTACGCAGCAAAAAACAGGAGGTTTTGCAGCTTCCCTTATAGACACTGCGACATCTACGTAAAAAAAAACGAAGTTTTGCAGCTTCCCCTATAGACACTGCGACATCTACGTCGCAAAAGACACGAGGTTTTGCAACTTCCCCTATAGACACTGCGACATCTACGTAAAAAACACGAGGTTTTGCAGCTTCCCCTATAGACACTGCGACATCTACGTTGCAAAAAACACGAGGTTTTGCAGCTTCCCCTATAGACACTGCGACATCTACGGAGCAAAAAACAGGAGGTTTTGCAGCTTCTCCTATAGACACTGTGACATCTACGTAAAAAAAACGAGGTTTTGCAGCTTTCCTTATAGACACTGCGACATCTACGTCGCAAAAGACACGAAGTTTTGCAGCTTCCCCTATAGACACCGAATTAACGACGCGAAAAACGACGCGAAAAACGACGCGAAAACGACGCGAAAACGACGCGAAAACGACGCGAAAACGACGCGAAAAACGACGCGCCGACCAACTGGCGGCGAACAAAGGTCCAACCCCCAGACCCCCAACTATAAACGGGAACCCTTCGCTACGCATTCGGGAAAAAACATGGTTTATCATCATATTCCCTACGAAACTCTCCATAACTTGGGGAAAATCCACTCTGTGCAGACCAATCAACTGGGTGTCCAAACAGCTTCAGCTTGCTGCAAAACCTTTAGCGTCAAGATGCCAAAGCCTGGGACTTCGAGTCCCGGTGGCAGTGATCGGAAGATCTCAAGCACCTGGTCACCAAGGGTCACCAAGGATGGGAGTATTCTCAAAGTTGTAACGTTGTTTGATATGTTTAATGTCCAGGAAGATTGTGAAAGAAACCCGGCTCAATTCAGATGTTCCTGTGAGTCTACTATATCACTCTATCTCCGTGTTGGCAAAACACCCAAAGGTATAATCTCGCCGTCAAAAATGCCAACTGCAAGACAAATGGCCGTTTACAAAAACACCAGAGAACCAAGTTGCCACGGCACCTTGACGCGGGTTAGCTTCTCATGCTTTAGAAGACTTGCACAAATCTTGCCCTCAGACACAATTGAAAAGGAAGTCCGGTGGTACCAAGGTGGATCAAGGTGGATCAAGGTGGATCAAGCAATCATGTCAGCTTAACACACTCTGTCTAAACCAGCTGGACATTGAAGCCAACCCTTACTGGCCGTCTTATGCAAAAATGTTTGCAATATTCTAGAAAGCACGAAAGCTCAAAGTAAGTGATGCTAGGGATTCAAGGCTTCAGGACGGAATGAATGCTAAAGTTGTAACATTCGCACAGAAAGAAGTGGTCGAAGAAATTGTATCTCTTGGTTTCAAAGTTTGAAGTCCACTAAAGAATTGCAGTACTATACACCAATTGGTAAAACAGTTATGCACATGTTATATATTATTGGAATCCTTAGTAGATGCGAGACAAGGCCTGTGACGGAGACTTTCAACTGGGATGCGCACATCCTGAGCTGCCAAAGTCGTGACCCGCTGCCACAACCTTGAGCCAAGGGATGTTCACCATTTTTAGGATATTATATGTATAGTATTAATTATGTATATATTATATTATATATATAATTATATATACACATAATCATATCATGCAACATGTCGCTACTTTCGCCCACAAGTCCATCCCCCAAGTCTCCATATTCAATGCTAGGCAGCTCTTCAGAGTCCTCAGAAGCCTGCCAGGAAGATACTTCAAAAAAAAAGCAAATCAAATCAAGACATGCAAACCTTCAGTACTGTTTCGAAAAAGAAACACTGCAACTAGCCAGCTTTTCACCGCGAGCCCTCAGAGCTTCCAAGCTCCTCGTTCTTCCGGTGACTGGGTCATCTTCTCGTTCTGGATAGTTCAGTGGTAGGCCACGAAATCACAAGGGCACTTGACGTCCACTAGTGGCAAAATGGCATGATGATGCATGATGTCCTTCTAGAAAATCTTGGATATTGCAGTCTTTTTGCAAAGAGAGGTTGCTCCAAACTGTACAGGACATCCTGAAGTCCAGGAAATAGTCAGCAGCTCCTTTTGTTGCATTATCGTCGCAAGGGGCTTAGTTCAATTGAAATTGCGCGTGGCGAAGTCAGATCCAATGAACGGGGACTGGGCGCATCCTGCCATTGCTGTCTGCTGCGGTATCTCGTCCTTGACACAAACCAACATAGGATGGAAATGATAATGGAGAGACCAACCACCAGTGAAAGTAAAAATGCATCCGCGCTATCCGCTGCATGCTGTTCAGAAACAATGTCGATGTCATTGCAACAACAGCCCAGGCGACAATGACCATTCGGACACTTCGCATTAAAATGAAGACCAAGTTCCAAATTTCTCCACACGTCTGTTGGCACGTCTGGACCACAAGTTGGCCAGCAGCTCCCGATATCATTCACCATTCCCAAACCCATCCGCTGGGGCCGGTAGCTACGTATCTTTTCGGTAGCTGTGCTTTCAGACATAGTAGGTTTCAGCATGCAACTAGAAATCCACTCCTCACATATGGAGACTTTTGCCAAACAAGCTGCATCAATCTCTTGTGGTGCGATGGCAACATGAGTTTTGAAGCAAAAGAAATGGAAGTGCTGAGGATGCTGAGGATCCTCAGGTCCAGAAACTGTATCGGAAAGTGCACCGGCCATCTCCGACATATCCATGCAAAAGCCCTGTCCACGTCGGAGGAGCACCAGGTTGCCAAACCTTCGCCGTGGGCCGAGTATATACCTGGCAGTGGCAATATAGCGGTCATAGGTTTGACGATTCCGAATAGCCCTGAAACGCGAGTCAACCCAGTCGATGCTGTCATTCACGTGCAACTTTGCACGCTTGTGATCCGGGAGCTCATCCTTCAGCCAATGCAACAGAGCTACTTCCAGGGCCGAGTGATGCAAGCGCTTCACCCTGGTCGTCTCACGCAGTGAGTGATAGAAATTGTCCACAAACGTGAAAAATGAATGAGAGTACTCATCCACTCTTGCCAGAAAGCTGTTGGGATAAATTGCGCCAGTATGGAAGTCCTCAAAAAGGAATAAGGAGGGGTTGCTATTCTGCACAAAGTGTTTCAAATCCATGTGAGGCAGTGGCAGAGTTTCTGCGTCAAAGAAGAAGATCCAGCGTGGCATTTGGCGAAGCTTCAGATCTTTCAATGCTTGGACAGAGCCATTGCTCGTGTTTTGGAAGGCGTCCATGATGCGCTTGAGTCCACAGGACAGGTAAGGCTGGTACGGGATGGAGGTCTGAGTTGGAAAATCATTGCAACCTTTGATACCTCTCAGTTCCACCACACGCACAGGAACACCCCAGGCATCCCCAGCACATCCCCATGCGGTCTGCCACGTGCTGGAGAAATTGAACGAATTGTTTTTAAGGCCCAATAGCAGAAGCTCACTGCTTGCGGTCTTCCTATTGAGATCTAGAAAATAGCAGAGTGTGCAGAAATTTGGGTCTCCCTTCATGGTGAAAGTTGAAATGGCTCAACTCTCATCGCAGCATGATCATGGCTTCTAAAGGGAAAGCCATAGGAGCAGAATGAGCAACATGAATCTACCGTGAGAAGGGCACAGAACAAACAAAAGCACCAACTGTCATCGTGATGCCGCCTGACTTTCTGATTTGTGCCAGCCTTCTCAGTCAGCTTGAGGCAGTGGCTGCGGAACTTGTTGCATGGTGTTGCATGGTGTTGCATGGTGTTGCATGGTGCTGCGGTGTGTTGTTTCATCACATCAAGCTGTCATAATCTGCCAAAATCAAAGCGCTGAACTTGGTGTTGCTACACTCGGCGCCTCCAAGAAGTCCAGCGCTTTAGCCGCACTCAGCTGGAGCAGCAATTCAAAGGCCTGCAGATTCTGTCGGTTTTCATCCAACTCCAGAAACTTGACCCCATAAATCTAACGTGCAACCTGAAATCCATATTAAATTTTGGGGATCTTCAACATCTTCAAATAAGAATGATCTGCAAAGATATTTCCACCCAGCCTCACGGGTGTGGCCCAGCCTCAGCACTACAGTACCAGCCCAAGGAGCCAGAACTAGGTTTCCTCAGAATGTTCCCAGTGGTTTCAAGATGTTTCCAGAACAAGTTTCGTTGTGTTTCTATGTTGCCCTTGGGAGACTTCAACCCCTGTCTCACATGCGTTGAAATCATGAATGATCCTGAAGACCCAAGCGCTTGGAGTGCAATAGCAGAAGCATCAAAGACACCTGCTGACCAGCTGACCTGAACAGCTATATGTCAAGTGACACCACGGAAATCTCATGATGCGTTCTTCCAGTGCAGACTAACCTTCTGTCCAATGCTGTTTATCAAAACCCGAGAACAAGCAAGCCCCAAGAGATGCTAAGACGAGCTAAGACGATACAACAAGGAATGGCCGAATGGCCGTGTTTCATGCCCTCATTTGACCATTTGAAGCGACTAGTGGCATGGATGGGAACGATTGCAATTGCAATTGCCACATATTGCCACTATATTCACACTTTATGACTTTATGGCATGAACGTGGCAACGTTGCCTCCAAGGCTTCATGTACATCGATTCGTTGATCCTGAGCCGACGATGCAACAACATTCCGAGGTGGAGAACAGTGTAGAATAAATTAGAATATAGATATATATATATATACAGGTTCCTTATTTAATCAGTCAAAGGTGTCCTCTGAAATCAATGATGTAAAGTGATGTTATATCCAAGAGCAGTTGCTCTGCCCCACTGTCTCGATATGTTTCGTTCAGTGCCCGGAAGTCTGCACTGGCAGGAGGGAGGCCAGCTTGTTTCGACCTTCCAATGATTCCAATGGATCCCATTTTCCTGGACATGTTCCTGCTCTTTGGGCAGCAAGTGCTTCTCCAGCAAGAGCCTCATAGCCAAAAATCATTGGCACCACTAGCATTGCAATAGCAAATCTTGGGCTCCGACCCCAATCGATGTGGCTGCAAGGCTGCCTTAGGGACTCAACACTGCTCAGCTGACAAGCAAATTATGAAAACTTGAAACAGTTTTCATACTTTGAGTGAATTCACTGCCTCTGCCTCTTCAAACACCTGCTGAAAGTGGTCATAGACGTGTTCACCATTCAGAAAGGAATAAACTTGGGACTTGGGACCTCACTGTCAGCTGCACCAAACGCGACATGTCGGTGGCATCAGGTGATGTTTCCGAAAGAATCCTGCATGCGGCTGTGTCCCCCAGCCAAGCAAAAGATGCAAAAGATCATTTTTTTTGCAAAGAAATGTTGCAAGGAATCTTCAGCTGCACTAGCTACAGCTAGGTCAAGGCTCTCCCAAATCACCAAAGCATCACGTGAATCACGTGCCATTTTCAAATCCGCGCCTCAAATAACGCAGTTCCCAGCACTCGCCCAGTGGTGCCAATGCTGACAGCACTTTGGCAGGCGGAAGAATGGCCGGAAACTCAGCCTTTGGCCAGGGAGTTTGCTTGAAAGCCACACCAGCATATGAGAGAACCATAGAATAATTACATGCTCAAACTCTAAATTATGTCTGTACCTTTCCATAAATTCTTCCAACATCAGCGTCTGACGATCTGTCAAATATATTCAGTTCAAAGCGTTAAAATCAACAAATGGACTGGTTGATGCGTGGAAAGATGCCGCGGAACCACCAAACGTATGGCTTGCGCAGCATCCAATGCAACAAGATGTGGAAGCGAATCAGAAGCACTGTGGAAGCGGCCTCACAATGATGCTTCCAGTGGAGACAAAAATGCCAGTTGTTTTTGGCACTTTCCTGAACCCAAAACCTTCGAGTTCATTCCATGAATGGGACACCACTGAACTTCCACTGAACTTCCACTGAACTTCCACTGAACACAACAAAAGCATCACAGCCCTGGTGCCTTCTGGCAGGTACTTCTTTAGCAGCGGAAAGACTCTGAGGCTTTTGGCACGTGCCAAAAGACGTGCAGCAGTCTCGATGTCGCCTGCAGTAAATGGCCGCCATCTTCGAGTTGGTACAGTTGAATGATCACACCCCCAGAATGGATGTTGTTTTAAGTACTAAAAGGATTCGAAAAGGGACCGATTTCGTGGTAGTGGTACACCCCAACTATGACCCATGTCCATCTTTGCGGTTGATGTGCAATTCCGTCCAGGTACCTCTTGTCTCGTGCAAAGAGGCCAAGACCTCTGCGGCTTGTTCCTGGCTGAGCTGTAGCTCCATGTCAAAAAATCTCCGCTTCTGCAGAAAATGGCATCCTGGAAGATTTCAATACATCGCAAATACATTTTATATCATTTTATATCATTTTATCACGTGTCATGGCAGTAGTCTCATCTCCAACTATGTTTTCACATGTGGCGGCACAAAGGATCTCCTCGAACAGCTCATCGTCATCGTCGGGCTCCCAACTAGCACAGCCTGCCAACCATCAGCAGATATGGCAACTGGATGTTTCAGTCTTCAAAGAAAAACAACTTGATCAAATCTTCACCTTGAAGTTGAACTCAGTTGGATGTGGATTTGATACTGCTTTTCGCTATTGAACCGGCTGCGTGGCACCTTCTGTAGGTTTCTTTCCAGGACAAAGTGCCTGCACAGGTGATTGCATATATAGAGGCAGTACTTTTGCGTCATGTTCAAACTGTCGGACGAACGGACTAACAAACAAAAACAAAACATACAAAAAGAAAAACAAAAAGAACAAAAAGAACTTCTCTGAACAAGTTTCCATTGTCTTGTTGACCTGTTGTCTTCCCCTTGATCTGACTGCAGATTCTAGAAATTTGAAGCTGAACTGGCACGGTCCGAACACAGGCGCACCCTCTGCAGACTGGCCATCAGGGCAGCAGTTGGTTTAGCTTTTTTTGGCCATCGAACGAGAGCTGCCATCAAGTCTTTCGGGCATGGTGCCAAGGCATTGTCCTCAGCAACAATACTCTTCGGCGCATCTTTACTGACCCGTTGACCTGGGGAAGAGATCCCTTGAACTCTCCAGTGAGATAGACTTTCTGAAAGTCCCATGCGAACGATGAGAATAGGGGGTCTGGAGTGTAGTAGCTGCAATTGCCACAGGAGCATTTGCAACTGCCGGCCAGCTACGGCTAACTTGAAGATCCATCACTTACTGTATAACTTATAACGATTCACCAAGTGGCCAGCTGAGCTAGTTGCTGAACCACTTCTCCTGGTACTGGCAGCTTTCGCACCACTTTTGCAAAGCGCACGGCCACTCCATCACCCATCTGTCTCACCTCCACCAGCTGTACTTCCTGCAGTGAAAATGTTATTTTTTTCTCGTGCAAAGTCTGCAAACGCAACTTGCATTTTCACACAAACAAATTTATGAATATGAATACTATGAATACATTTTTTATGAACAAACATAAAGATGTTTTGTGCCCCATAAATGAACAGCCTTATGTTGTCACTGGTCTTGTCAGTCCCCAGCTCCTGATCCCAGCCGATCAGCAAGGCTTCATCGTTCAGCCAACAGAGATGTCCAGCGCCAGAGCAAGGGATGAAGCCCACCTGACAAATTGAAACCCTCGGAACCATGAGTATAGTCAGTATAGTATAACCCACACTATGGGACCGATGGGATATGCATTATTCATGGTCTCGAAAGAAGTCACAACCGTCACAATGTGATCTGATATATGTTGGAACATGATGTGAACAGGATTGAAAAGTTCAGTAACTGCATATGCAGGTCCTTGCATTGCCACTGCAGTCAGGGCACTTTTTGCTGAGTTTCCACATCCACCAGCTTGACGCCCTTCTGAGTGGCCCATGCCACTAAGGGTCCACGCCATCGAACACAGCTGATAGGTCCCTCACCCAAATGAAGTGTCGCATGCTTTGCTTCCTGAAATGGTCGAATCACCGGCAAAAGTAAGATTTGAAAGTACCAAATAAAGCAATGAAATCAAACCGAAAGCACGTGTTTTGGTACGGGAGCGAAATATGCTGCAGATGTGGTCCTCGTCACAACCTATACCTCTTTCTGTCTATGTCAGATTTTTCCTGTGCATGCACGCTACTTATCGAGGTGTTCATGTGATTGCCTGAAAATGCCATGCAAAGTATATATGTCTGGCAATCTGGACTGCGCTGGATTGCAAAAAAAAGTGAATCTGACTCTCCAACTTTTGGAAACCACATTTGATTTGATTCAAAACGTTAAGCCAAGGGCACAAGTGCACCACGCCGACTGAGGACAAGGCGACCGTCCTGCACGCTGTTGAACGACGTATGTGCATAGAAAAAATCATGATGCGTATATATCAAAACATGATATGTGTATAGAAAACATATACATATTGAGGCTGTAGTATGTAGATAGATATTACATACTGATACAATTCTGCAATGTATTGTAATGTAGTTATTTTCATCAGATACATACATGTATGTTTCTATATATCTGTATGTATATATATATACACACCATATATATCCATATATATGTATCAAGAGCAAACACAGAGTGGTTTCTTTGATTGCCTTGAGACTTCACAACAAGAACTCAGTCCTGTCCGCCGGAGCAAAGGACACGCTGGCCTAGAGCCTGGCAGCAAATATAATGCACCACTGCGCCGCAGTCGTCTGTCAGTGTCTGTGCACTCTGCACGGCCTCCGCATAGTTTGGGTAGATTGCGATGCTATGTACCTGCTTCTACAAGCATCCACCAAAGCTGCAACAAAATGCGACAGGTACATTTTGCAGTTCCGTTTTTGCAAAGATATTGAATGGTTGCCTCTTATCTTTGCCGCACTATACCAGCATGATTGAAAACAAATTCAAAACAATTTGGACAAGATATAGATTCTCTCAATTCAGATTGATGTGAAACAATGCTGAAAAGCAGGCTGTTCACAAAATTCATCGAAGGTACTGGTTTTGGCATCAGACTCTTCCAGGAACTTCCTTTGGTCCCTGAAACCGCATCCACTGCAATGGTTCCATCCTGGTTTGCAATGCCCAAAATGCAAAGTTCATATGCTCATGTGAGAAAATGGGGCCAAGTGTTGAACCATAAATACAGCACCACTGTTCAAACCAGCAGTACGTTGGCTGTTGAACCATCTACATCCTTAATAAAAGTTGTAATTTGGCTTTAGCAGGCGTTTTGTACTCACCTTGAGAAGCTGCGCGTGCATTCATTTTCATTCACAACTTTTACACAGGCCGGAATACACAAAGGTTGAATAAACCATGAAGTGCTGTAGCTGACTCTGAATCCGCAGGCCTGCCAGCGCGTCTGATTGGAAGGTGTTGTTCATGTTTTTGTTCTTGGTTGTGTTTGTTCCTTTGATGTTTTGCTACGCGTTTTTGTTTCATCTGAATCGTGTCCTCCCCACTGTTTCGACATCTGAACTTCCAACAGTGCTCCAAGCATGAGGTGTCTTTAACGTTTTGACTTCCACATGTGCTTCGCGCCACGATAGCGTCCAGTTTTTCATCTCCAATCCCCCCAGATGGTCCCAAAACATTGGAAAAACACAGTGTTTCGCGACTTGCCTACCTTTTCGCATGTTGCCTACCTTTTCGCGCGCCTGCATCTCCTTTCTTCTGACTGTTTCTCTTCTCTGATATTCTTCCTACGGACTCTTTCTCTTCCCTAACTCTTCCCACCTCTGCTTTTCCATCTGTCCATCTTGTTGGAAGTTTGACTGCTACGCTCCTTTTGGCTACTATACCACTACCAAACTACTGCAACTACTGCAACTACTGCTACTACTGCTACCACTCTGGTAATAATGCTGCTACTGCTACTAAGCTACTACTACTGCTGCTGCTGCTGCTGCTACTGCTGCTACTGCTGCTACTACTACTACTACTGCTACTGCTACTACTGCTACTACTGCTACTACTGCTACTACTGCTACTACTGCTACTACTACTACTGCTACTACTACTACTACTAGTACTAGTACTAGTACTACTACTACTACTACTACTACTACTACTACTACTACTACTACTACTACTACTACTACTACTGCAACTACTGCAAGTCGTGCTCCGCCACATCGGCCCTCTTCTACAACGACTTGATGTTGTCATATTGGAGCTGGGCTCTCTCCATCGCTCCCTTCGTCAGCTCATCCCTTCTTCTCTTTGCTTTTTCCAGGGCCATCTCCGTCTCCGACAACTGCCTCCTCAAATCCCGATTTTTCTCCTGACAGGCGAGACAAAAACAGCACATGGGAGCGCAACGTACAAACGACGGCCCACCTACTTGTGACCAAATCCAACCCGTGCTCAGAAGCTCAATCAATCAGACCATCCATCTCAATTGAACCGTGTTGGGCCAACCATCGTTGACTCAGCACAACAAATTCTTTCTTCGGCAACCCTGAGTCCAAAAGCGAGAACACAAGCAAGACCTGCAGATCGACTAGCAAGGCCTCCTGATGGATACTGTCCAAACCGTCCTGAGCCTGCAATTTTGCAGTTAGAAATTCCTTCTGCAATCGACTCATCTCCGTGTGGTGATATTGGTTGTTGGATAAGGCGCCTTGCAGGCTTGCAATCAATATTGTCTTTTCCAAGATCTCCTTCGCCTGTGCATGACGGTCTGCGTCCAACATCTGCCCGATCTCCACCTCCTTCTTCTTCATTTCCTCCGCCGCGTTCTACTTGGCTCTCAAGGCTCCTGTCAGCTCCTTAACTTGCTGTTTCATCTCATCCCCAGCGTGCTGCAGCTCTCAAGGCGCCTATCTCGGCAAGTGTTCTGCCAATGGGGCCAACTAAGTCCTCTCCCTCCGCCGGAGCCAGCTATAGGAATGTTCTTGGGGATCCCGCCTTTTCGGCAGTGTTTTTTGAAATGGTTTGCAGCCCCTCGCCATCTATTCTTGCATTTTTGGGTTTGGTTTTTTTGGGCGGTGGCAAATCACAAAGACCTCCCGGTTTTTAAGCGCATGGCCCTGGAGTTTCGGGTTGCGCCATCTATTATATATGAAAACTTTTACCCTTCAAACCTTGACTTCAACCGGCCGAACCCTTCTTTATCAAAGTTTTGGTGACCGAAATGTCCAGTCCCGAAAGAAGGGTTTTTAATGGAAAATGGGCTAGATGGCGCGATTTTGTGCATTTTGCACATGTAGGGTTGTGCCATCTTCAGGCACATTTGCTGTTTCGGGTAAATTTGGGAAATGATTTTTCACTGTTAAATAGATGGCGCAACCACCTCTGAACAAGGTGTCCGGTGCCATGCATTCTGACCCCAGGGTACACGCCCCCCTATACATGACAATTTTGGGATACATACAGTACTTGTATTTTCGTTAACACGCAACCTCCAATATATTTTTTGATTCACAACGTAACCACATGGTTTCCCCTTTGGAGCATGATCTACAAGCGGTGGTTTGTTTTAAAATTTTGGCTGAAAGGTATCAGTGGTTGGTGGTTTCAACGCATACCAAAAATGTCCCGCGATTGAAACCATTCAGCCAAGTACAAAATGAGGGTTCCTAATGATGTTTGTTGGGTTTTAATCGATCTATATAACTACTTATGGTCACCAATAATCATAAGAACCTAAGAGTTCAGCTAGTTCTCCCCCTGGTGTCTGTACACTCGGCACCACTTCCACGAGGATTTGCCCGGACCTGCCCCTGCCGCAGAGGTCCCAGAGCTTTGACCCGCAAGCCGATTGGGCTCAGTTTTTCTCAGTTGAAAGGCCACATAGGTCTCTAAACAACAAGTGTTGCATAGGATCCTTACCGCCCACATAAGTCCCTGGTCCTAAGTATTGTCCGATTATGCTCCGTTTTTGGAAAGCAGCAGGGGTGACCGAGATCCGTGGAACAATCATCTATGTCCACCCTCCAATCTCAATCCCCCCCGGTCCTCCTTTCATTTGGATGTCAAAAACGACGTCGTTTAACTGCTGGTAAAAAGTTTGCAGCGCCTGTGCGCCCAACATTGGGAATTCAATGAAATGTATCTGCTGTGGGTCTGAAAATCATGTATGCCCCCGGAAAAGGATGAGATTTCGGGATTTTTGGGTCCGCATTTTTTCAAAGAAACATGTGTGAAGCATTTGGATTTATTAGATGACCTGGGAGATGTGCCATTTGGTAAACCTGGCCCGTTTACAGATAGATCATTTACCTATTCAAACTTGTGATTTCCCATATGTTGAAGGTAATTTGTGCCATCGCTATCAAAAATCACAATGTTTAATGAGCAATTCATCGAACTAATAAGGACATAAATTGCTGGAGGGAATGCTCCATCCTCCACACCCTGTCCAAACACCGCTGATCTGCCTTCCTGGCGTGCTTGGGAGAATGCTTCGAAAAGGTCCTGGGGCAAGGCTGTTGGAACCAATGATGTCCCACGAGATTCAAAAAAAAAAACGCAGCTCAACAAAATTTGGAGTGACCCACAGTGGCGCTGAAATATGGGAGTGGCCCCTTTCTTTACATCAACCTTCCAATGAGAAAAGGATATCTGCCTTTCGAACGATTGCTTTCCAAGGCCATAATTTCCATAATAATGCCAACCCTTGCAAACCCCTGGGTTGCCTAAATTTGGCGTGGTCCTCTTGACTACCAATTTGGTGCTAACTCCCAATTTAGCAGGATCTAGTCCAAGTTTGTGCCGGCGCTCATCCTTGACCCGTTGCTTGTTGGTCTCTAACACCACTGCGTCAGCCTGATTGGACCTCAGAGTAATTCAACAGAGAAGATCAAACGAAGCCTTTCTCGATGATCTTCCGGAAGTGGTTGAAGAGAAAAACGACCAGGAAAGGAAAGGCCGTGGACTTTGATGGTACCTGAAAAATACTGTATTCCCATGGAAATAAATGTATTGATCAATAAGGCCCGGACAGATATGCTTGACCAAAATTGAAGGGCTTGAACGATGGTCATTGGGGTCATTGAGGTCATTGAGGCCATTCACCCTGAGAGCTCTCAGCTCCGCACTGGAAGAAAGCAAAAATGTTCTCAAAGATTCCCTCTAAGGTCTGCGCCTTTCACTGCAATTTTGGTCAGCCGTAGCGGTTCAGAACAGTCCGACATGGAGGTGAGCCGCCAGACGGTGACAATGCTAAAGAGAAACCCCAATTTGTGGTACTTAATGGGATATCCATGGTTGATGGTACCAAGGGGCATATAATGTAAATAATGGCATAAAACTCCATCTAATCAATTTTCCCTGGGTTGGTTCCAAAAAAATATAGGGTTAATAGGGTTAAAACCATGCGTTTACTTCCAAAATCTCAGGTTTCCTGATCATTCCTGCAGATTTGCCATTCGACCAACATGATAAGTAGTGATGTACGAGTACCTGTAACTTGACAAACCTAAAGTATCCTGTCTTCAAGGTTTTGATCCAAGATTCTCTATGGAGGCAAAGCCACACTGAGGATATACACCCTTTCATTTTCAGGTACCAAAACCATCAGCCAGAGCAGTTCCAAACGACCCAAATCACTGGTTGTGACTCTACCATGGGAGCCCCATAAGTTAATGTGCAAGAGCTTATCCATCATGGATATCATGGGTCAGAATGGGTACGTAGATGGGTCATGGGATTGGCTGAGTGGTCAGTCTTGTGGGTTATAAATATAACGAACGAACTATCCCCGAGTAATCCTCCCAGTATAATCCATGTACTAAATAATTTTCTAAAAGTAGTAGTAGTAGTAGTAGTAGTAGTCGTCGTAGTAGTAGTCGTAGTAGTAGTCGTAGTAGTCGTAGTAGTAGTCGTAGTAGTCGTAGTAGTAGTCGTCGTCGTCGTCGAAGGAAGTTTAGAAGTCAAACTTCCGACAATATGGACAGATGAAAAGCAGAGCAGGGCAGAGGCAGAGAGAAGAGAAAGATCAGAAGAGAAAAGAGTAGAAGAGAAAGAGTAAGAAGAAAGAAGATGGAGATGCGCGAAAAGGTAGGAAAGTCGCGATTCACTGTGTTTTTCTAATGATTTGTGGCTCCGGGGGGTCGAAAAGTAGGCTCGCTAAAGCGGCGGGTGCGGAGCCATCTGGCCAGAGGAGAGATGAAAAGTTGCACGCCGTTGTGGCGCGAAGCACATTTGGAAGTCAAAATGTACAAAACACACCATTGTCGGACCACTTTTGGAAGTTGAGATGTCGAAAAAGTGCACGCCGTTGTGGCGCGAAGCACATTTCGAAGTCAAAATGTACAAAACACACCAGGTCCGGACCACTTTTGGAAGTTGAGATGTCGAAAATGTGCACGCCGTTGTGGCGCGAAGCACATTTCGAAGTGAAAATGTACAAAACACACCATTCTCGGACCACTTTTGGAAGTTGAGATGTCTAAAAAGTGCACGCCGTTGTGTCGCGAAGCACATTGCCAAGTCAAAATGTTAACACTAGGGGTTCGGACCACTTTTGGAAGTTGCGATGTCGAAAAAGTGCACGCCGTTGTGGCGCGAACCACATTTAAAAGTGCACGCCGTTGTGGCGCGAAGCACATTTCCAAGTCAAAATGTACAAAACACACCATGTTCGGACCACTTTTGGAGGTTCAGATGTCGCTTCGCTTCGCTTCACTACAATACACTACATTACACTACACTACACTTCACTACACTACACTACATTACATTAACTTTCACTACACTACACTACACTCCACTCCACTACACTACAACTACAACTACACAACTACACTCCACTACACTCCACTACGCTCCACTACACTAAATTACACTACACTACATTACGCTACACTACACTCCACTACACTACATTACACTCCACTACACCCCACAACAATACAACTACAACTACACAACTACACTCCACTACACTAAATGACACTACACTACATTACACTACACTACACTACAACTACAACTACACAACCACACTCCACTACACTCCACTACACTCCACTACACTCCACTACACTAAATTACACTACACTACATTACACTACACTACACTCCACTACACTACAACTACAACTACACAACTACACTCCACTACACTCCACTACACTACAACTACACCTGCGACTACACAACTACACTCCACTACACGAAATTACACTACACTACACTACATTCCACTACACTCCACTACACTACACTACACCTGCGACTACACAACTACACTCCACTACACGAAATTACACTACACTACACTACATTCCACTACACTCCACTACACTACACTACATTGCACTACACTACATTACACTGAATGACACTGCACCACAGATAGACAGGTAGACAGATAGACAGATAGACAGATAGACAGATAGACAGATAGACAGATAGACAGATAGACAGATAGAGAGATAGAGAGATAGATAGATAGATAGGCAAGGTAGTAGTAGATAGATAGACAGATAGATATATAAAGATAGATAGATAGATAGACAGATAGATAGACCAGAACAGATAAGATAGATAGTAGGTAATTGATGAAAGAAGGAGAGAGAGAGATATATCGTAGTTAGATACTACATAGAAGATAGATAGGTAGGTAGGTAGATAGTCAGAGAAGAGAAAAGAGAGGAGACCTCAAGCACTTTTTCAGTCCATCAGATGCTCGTCTGCCATCCCTGATTCACACAACCAACCTCTCCTATGGTTTTTTCCTTTTTGAAAACTTCCGCCACCGCCTTGTGCGGTACTACTGGTGGTATTAGTAGTAGTAGTAGCAGCAGTAGTAAGTAGGTAGTAGCAAGCGTAAGAGTATGTAGTAATAAAGTAGTTTGTTGTTGTAGTAGTAGTAAGCCAGCAAGCAGTAGCAGCAGCAGTATCGTACAGCAAGTAGTACCAGAGGAGCAGCAAGCAGCATGAGGATTATCATATAGTAGCAGTAAGTCGTAGTAGTGTAGTAGTCGTAGTAGTCTAGTAGTCGTAGTCCTCGTAGTCCTCGTAGTCCCTCGTATTTCCTCAGTAGTCCTCGTAGTCCTCGTAGTCCTCGTAGTCCTCGTAAGTCCTCGTAGTCTTCGTAGTCCTCGTAGTCCTCGTAGTCCTCGTAGTCCTGTGTCCTCGTAGTCCTCGGTTCCTCGTAGCCTCGTTCCTCGTAGTCCCGTAGTCCTCGTAGTCCTCGTAGTCCTCGTAGTCCTCGTAGTCCTCGTAGTCCTCGTAGTCCTCGTAGTCCTCGTAGTCCTCGTAGTCCTCGTAGTCCTCGTAGTCCTCGTAGTCCTCGTATAGTCCTCGTAGTCCTCGTAGTCCTCGTAGTCGTCGTAGTATAGTCGTAGTAGTCGTCGTAGTGGTCGTAGTCGTACTCGTCGTAGTCGTCGTCGTCGTCGTAGTAGTAGTGGCGGTGGTGAGTAGAGTATACTAGACTATAATTACTATAATGTGCCGTACTGTACTGTACTGTACTCTTCTACGACTATACTACGACTATACTACGACTATACTAGGACTCTACTACGACTGACTTACTACGACTATACTACGACTACACTATACTTCACTTTACTATTCTTTACTATACTGTACTATACTGTACTATACTATACGATACTGTACTATACTATACTGTACTATACCAGAGTATACTTTACTATACTGTACAATACTATACTACTCCCACTCCTACTCCTACTGCTACTGCTACTGCTACTGCTACTTCCACTCCCACTACTACTCCTCCTGGTCCCACTCCTTCCCCTATACTCCTCCTACCCCTACTCCTCCTACTCCTACTCGTGCTCCTACTCCTACTCCTTCTCCTACTCCTCCTACTACTCCTGCTCCCACATCTACTCCCACTCCTACTACTACTCCTCCTACTCTTGTCTTCTTCCCCAAGTACTTAACCGGTAGTGCCTGTATGTTCCGGTTGCTAGAGAAACTGTCTACAGTACCGGTACTAGTCACACGAGGTACAAGGTACTAAACTCATCGACCGGTACTCATTCGGTATACGGTCAATAGTCTGTTGAGGTAAGTACTTGCTAGTCAGGCTGCTTCTGATCTACGGCTCTGCCCTCGTCTCTTTTTCTTGTTCCTCTTCTTCCTCTTCTTCCTCTTCTTCTTCTTCTTCTTTTTCTTCTTCTGCTTCTCTCTCCGGCTTCCACCTAGGGTGCACATCAAACTCCCTTGGGGCCACCTCACTATGGCCGGCTTGCCGCAGGCAATTAAATATTCCAGCGCCAAGCACTTTTGTTTGCATTTATTTACTACACTGTGTTTCTATATCTCCTATGCAACTCATTCCAACTCACTCCAGCCTGCCAGGCGCTGGCCACAAAGCTTCCGGATGCATCAATGGAAACATCGTGGACGATGCTTCCAGCTATCCTGCAGCGTCCCAAATTCCAAAGAAATACTCCCATTGAATCCCATTCAATACCATTAAACCATCAAATCCAGATTTTTCATGATTTTTCCACCCGTTTCCTTGATATGCTCTGCTGTGCATCCCCCTATCACTTCATTTCCTGGCCTGCGCAGCTCCCAGCCAGAACTCCATGTACCTGGCTTCCCGCGGAAAGCCTTCACAGATTCCGCCAGTGCAGCCACCAGCAGGTCTCCGTGCAAGATGTAAAAGGCATCCTGCATCACACTGACCTGTCTCACTATACTCCACCAAGATCCAAAGATTATCAAAGATCATCAAAGATCATCAAAGATCATCAAAAAACGAAAAAGGGAATGTAAGGGAATGTTCTGAATTTTCTGCGGTTTAACTTGTCCAACATCACAAATTAAATAGTTGGGCACTGGAGCCTATTTTCGTGTTGTCCTGCGCTTCCTGTGGCAGGGCCCAGCGGCTCATGGTCCATGGCGATCCTGAAACGAAGATGGGCGACCCCTGAGCGAAGCTTCCGGCTGTGCCTGGATACAGCTGACAAAACAAAATGGCTAGGTTGGAATGCCGAGATCTTCTAATTCCAAACTGTGTGCCCAAAGTGCCCAAACAGATCCACGGGGGAAGATCTTTTTGCTGCTGTAGTCTTGTTCCAAGAAAAGGTGGCTGAGAATGCTAGTTCAGAGCAGCTTCCAGCTATCGGCATGCATCAACCCTCTTACATCTGTTCTCTCCTTCCAGATATCTTGTTCTTTCCTGTGTCAAACAGGTAAACACACTCGCGTACAAGCCAAAAGATCTGCAACCCAATAAAGGTTGCACTTTGGGTTGCACTTCGCCATGGCAAAACTTGCTTGCAAATTGCACTTTTGCTTCAAGTTCTACTCAGGGGTTGGGTTCCCCTTTTTTGCCTCCGCACGATTCACCAGTTCTGCAACGGATGGAGCCTTCACAGCGTGGGAGCACGTTTGTTCTCCAATCTGAGCTGTGACCATGGAACTCCTTGGATCAACGGAATAACTGTCCCCCGTTGAGGCTTTAAAGAGCCATTGGCAGCCAACCTGAGAAGCACACACGGTCTTCGTGGCTTCCGGAAGCTTTGCGACTTGACTTTGACTACTTCAATATCTAGATATATCTAGTACTGTAGTTGTGGGAACAAAGATCAACAAGCTGTACAGAATTGTACGGAGCTGCTCTTAAACTCCAGAGCTTCCCATTTCAGGCGGCATCAAGGAATCGGCTTTGTGCCATCGAGGCGTTGTGCCATTGTGTCGTATCTGTCGTGGTACGTGACTCGATCTGCAAAATGTTGCCGTGGCAAAGGCTTTAAACTTTGAACCTTTGCAAAATGCCCACCTTTCACCGCGTCGCCGTCCAAATCAATGCAATAAATCTGATATAGATAGACATGTTTAAACGCCTACACAAATGTGGTATGCATGGCCCGCGAAAAATCTTGCCGGCGTAAAAAAAACGCGTCAGGTGAAAGCTCAACAACACGGTTTCATGTTGCGGCCCTGACTTTTCCACCGCGCTTCTGCTACTGGCCATGAAAACCAAGCCTCCAAATGAATGTGAGAAAATAAAAGTTGTCACTGAGTTCAACTAGTGCGAGGATGGAGACTCAGCGCGCAAAATGATTTCAGGGACACCTATCTACAACTGCTGCCCCTTTTGGGGAGTAATTCCTGCTGGCACAAAATATCTGTGCATGCCTTTGAGAATTAAAGAGCAGAACATGTTCTTTAAAAAATGATCAATCGTGATCAATCATGTCATTTAAATTTTTGACTGCAGTCATGTGGCAGGTGATTGTCCCCGCAGTTTAACAGTTTCAGGCTTCTTGCCGTTTCCATCAATCGGTCGGGAAGGTCTGTTAAGTCCCAAGACAAAATGGGAAAATGGGTGATATGGGTGGAAAACCAGACATATTAACATACCAAGGAAAACCAGGCGTGAACTTATTCAAACCTATCACCCATTGTAGAGTAGGATTGATCCACGAAAGTACCTGGCAATAAACTTCAGCATGTCAATCAGTACCACCAACAAATGGGTCTGCAGCGATGTCCGCTCGGCAGCTCAAAGGTATTTCCAGCAGCTTTAGAAACAGAGTGATACAAAGCACACCGCTCTGGGAGTGCTGAAGTTTGGCTTCCTTCAAACTATGGATGTCTGAAAGTCCTGCCACATGTCAACTTTGTGCCTCTCACAAGGTGGAAATCCAAAGCTGGTTGTTTCTTCTGTCGATTCAACTTATATATGATGTCCTGACACGTCTTAAGGTATGGGATCCTGATTTGATTCTCCAAAACTAGGACTTGGAAAACGGAATGTGATTCTCCTTGAAAACGGAGAGGGCTACATAGGCACAACCGGTGTGCTTCCGTCCATAACCTTCCTGAAGGCGCCGAAACGTGTCATGTGAGTTGCCGGTGAGTTTTAAAGTGGACCAGTCACCTGGAATGATGGATTCTTGGGTGCAAATTCACCGCAAGTTGCAATAATTTGAGGCTTGAAAATCCAGAAATGCATGTCTGGGCGTTGTGTGAACCAAAGTTTCAATTGAAGTCAAAGTCCCTGCTTTTCTGAAAATGTTCACCAACGGAGACAAGCCACCCACTCTCATTCACATTGTCAATCGCAAGTCGCCATTGCACGTACATGAGCAAGATGAGGAGCCTTGGAAGAACTTGAGTTGCGCTGTAACAACCCACGTCGTATTTGACACTGTTCCTTCAAAAATAACTCAGTTGGTGGGTGCCCCGGAGTCCATAAAATGAAAATGTGTTGGGAGTTTGACAAATACATACAACACGTACAATCATATAATATATAATACATACAATACATATAATACATAGAGTGCACACAATCCATACAATACACATATATAATACACACAAGACAGACAATACATACAATACACACTATACACCCAGCTAACAATACAGACACTCCACACAATACACACAATAGAAACAGTATAAACAGTATACACAGTAATTATGCACAATACACACAATACATACAGCTGCACACCAGTGACACATACACATTCACATTCACATACAGATACACACACGCATACATATACAGTATACATTTGAAAAAATGCGTATGCTATGCATATGCATACCCATACACATACACTATACACACACCGAGATATACACGCACATGCACATGCCCATGTGCATGCACATACATTTCATTTCATGTCATGTCATTTCATCCCATCTCTTTCCATTCCATTCCATCCCTTTACATGCACATTCACAAAACTGCCTACATGCATACATACATGCATACCGCATACATACATGCATACCGCATACATTGCATTCCCATGCCCCATGCATTGCATTCCTTTACTGCCTCCATGCCCCATGCCATTCCATGATAAGACATTACATTGCATTGCATTGCGTTACATGACATGACATTACATTACATTTCTTACATTCATACATACATGCATGCGTACGTACATACGTACTACGTACTTACATACATACATGCATGCATGCATACATACAATTTCTTACTTACTTACTTACTTGCTTACTTTCTTACTTTCTTTCTTACTTTCTTACTTTCTTACTTTCTTACTTTCTTACTTTCTTACTTACATAATTACATACATTACATACATTACATACATTACATTGATTACATTCATTACATTCATTACATTCGTTACATTCGTTACACACATTACATAGATTACATACATTACATACATTACATACATTACATACATTACATACATTACATACCTTACATACATTACATACATTACATACATTACATACATTACATGCATAACATGCATAACATACATAACATACATAACATAACATAACATAACATAACATACATACCATACATACCATACATACCATACATACCATACATACCATACATACCATACATACCATACATACCATACATACCATACATACCATACATACCATACATACCATACATACCATACATACCATACATACCATACATACCATCCATACCATCCATACCATCCATACCATCCATACCATCCATACCATCCATACCATCCATACCATACATACCATACATACCATACATACATACATACA